GGGGTTGCCGTGGCGTTATCGACCGGGCCGCTGGTCGGTATCAAACCAGGCGTCGGCGCCGTGGCTGTCCCGGCTTCCTCGAGTGCCGGACCATTCTCCACCTCCATCACCACCACCACTATCATTGCCACTACTACTACCACCACCAGCGGCAAGAGCAGTAGCACCAGCACCGCCACCTCCGCGGAGGTCGCACGGCTGCTGGCCCTCGGCGCGTCAGTAAAGCCCGGGACAGACAGTCGATCGTGCACACGGACGGTGCGGGTCGTCCTGGGGGTGTTTGGTTGTTCCGGTTCGGATTTGGTCGGTTTGTCGCTGATTTGTCAGCTCGCGACTTTCATTCCCGCGCGGTTCTCGCGTGTAGACCGTTCGCGTGACACCCTGTCACCCAGTGCGATTCAACAGCTGGTAGAGAAGGTGTTTTCGGGCGGGATGTCGATTCGAAAAGACTGATAAACATCCGTATCCTCCCGTTTGATAAGCTCCTCCGAACCATCTGGACCGCGTCGTATCGCTCTCGAGCGTAACGTCGTTATCTCGGACTCTTAACTCGCGATGCGAGACGCATCGAATGGATCGAAGCGCTTCGTGCTGGTGCGTGTGGTGTCGGAGCGGTAGAATTGAAATTATATGGACTGATACGGAAGTTGTCTGACGGAAAGAATACTGAATAAATTCCGCGATGGACTATGTGATACGAGAAGACGACGCTAGATAAGGAGTTGGATGTTACGTTTGGCTCACGGTGCGTTTATCACATTTTTTTTTCAGAGTATTCTGCAAATGCGGGGATGCAATGTTTGATGATGAAGAACTCGTATCTTGAGACGAAGAGCATGTTACTTAATGATAATTAAATTGAGTCTGCTTTTATAAGCATCGAGATTCTAATTTACTGAATATTTGTTTCAAATTTGCAACATATGGCGTCGAAAAATATCGTCGATGATGGAAGATTTAAACAAATCCGTGTGCTTTTTCAATCAATATATATGAGTCATATATTTTCTGCCATAGAAAAAGAGGAGTTATACTAATAATAATAAATTATACTAATAATACTAATAATAATAAAGGAGTCATACTAATAAAAATAAATCATATAAAAAAATTTTTTAGCATTTCCAGAGAATTTATAAACTACTTTATTAAATATCGCGATTATATCGAAAAAAATTTTTCTATTAAATATAACTTTTGAATAAATGTTTTGTTAAATATTAATTATTTACTTAATACTAGAAATATTATATTCGCATACTTTATCTTACGATATATCTATTTATTCGTTTCTACTGCTTTAACGTTTCATTTCAGTTTAATCATTTCTGTAGATAATTATAATAGTTATAAAACTTTCGAGTTTGTATTGTTATGAAATTACGTGTGAATATTTCGAACTTTAACTAGTCTTGTACGTTAAAATATATTTAGCTACAAAGCCAACTTTCTCATAATGTGTAATAATAGATATGCAAATGACACAATAGTATTATTCTAATTATTTCTATATATCTCATTACCAATTCATCACTATTTCATTCATTTGCAATATTATTACTTTGAAATTTGTATGATACATAAGATATGGAATGATTTAATAAATAAATACAGTTACAACATTTGTGTAAATTTATAAAAGAGTGCATTTTTTGGAAATTATTTAAAGTTCGAAATTAGGAGTTATCTTCAAAATTAATAGGTTTTCTTTTCTTTCTTTCTATTTCCAATATTTCAAATTCATTTAATAAAACCGCGGCTCAATTAAAATTATTATATAAGAATAAAAATGAACGATTTTGTAGTTAATCCCCGATCTCGATGATTGAGAGCTCTCTCTAATTTAACAAAATGGATCACCATCAATTCTCTTTGATTCATCCATTTCTTGTAGGATGCACTCTCGTTGATCCGTGCAAAAATGTCACCCCTGGCGCTCGCGCAATTTCCGTGATAATATATCGGCGTTTTTTCGCGAAACGTTCGAAGAGTCGTTCTTCCTCTCTGGACGCCTTTTCTGCCTCGATAATTCCTTACGGATTTTTCTCCGGAAACTTTGAACTTATCGCTCCCGTCGGCGAATTATTAATCATCTAAGAGTCCCCTACAATTAGCGCGAGACCGGAATTTAATTTCGCTCGTCGGGTGAGATTCTCGCGCCTATGATTCGGCATCTCGTTTTCGCCCGTTGGTTGAATGGCGCGGAATCGGAACGTAATCCGACGTTAGTTTGCTCCTCTTTCGAACTTGCGAAGCTGCATCGGCAGTGCGCAGCTTCGTCGACGGAAGACTCCGGGGAATCCGATCTGAAGTACTTAGAAGACAAGTCGGACTAACTCAAGATACCCGCCTCTGTAGCGCGGACACATTCCCTTCAGATGCGGCGAAAGTGCGATGGAATTTTAATAGGATAGAATTTTGTAATCGTCACAATTAGCTTGTGAGTTACTGCGTCAAAAAGGCTTTGAATTAATCAAGTTTTGCTTTAAATTAAAATTGCAAATATAAATCATAAATAATATATCTAAACTTTCAAATAGAGTTATTTACATAACATTTATATTTAAGTGGACTCTGCTTTTATAATTCTGAATTTATTTTCTCAAATAAGGTTGAATGGCATGTATAAATGATATATTTACGAAAATACGATTTCCATTAATCTTTGATGGACAAACATAACACAAGCTTCTGTATTTTTTTAAACTTAATTATATACGAAAGTTTTTTTTTTTAGACAAAGAAGTTGCAAAGAGATTCTTAATTTTAATTTTTAATACGCTTACTTGTCTCTTGCTTTTGCGATCACTTACACATAAAAAAAAATTATTATATCACATTCTTTGTTAAGAAATTATGAAATCGATGCGCTTTCTGCTTCAACAGATTCATCTAAAGTTCAAGAAAGTAAAAGTAACGAGGAAAAGTTGCATGCGTTTTTACACGACTTATTTTATAAATTGCACGCTCACCTAAATATGAGACCATTACATCGTTTCGTGCAGATGGGACGACTTTGCAGAAAAGTACGGGTCGACTACTTCGTTGCTTCGTACCCGAAAAAAAAAAAACATTACGAAGGCGTGTAACCGAAACTCTGTGTTGTAATTTAAACACAGACTACATCCTCGCGGGGTCGAAACGTTGCCGAAGCCGAAACCGACTGCACCAAAGACCAGAAAGCACAGTTTACCTCAACTTGGAAATTGGAAATTCTCGCCTAGCTACGGTTCAATGCTATCGGATTTCAGATTTCGCGTTATTCGAGCAGCTTGAGCAGCTCATTCAAATTAAACTGGATCGTCATTGCAATTAATTAGGTTTTATGTCGGGCGATCAGTCGCGCAACTCGATTCTTCTTTATAGTTTCGATAATATACATTAATTATCGAATTTTTAGCCCGGGGCACTGCTGAATTTACGAAAATTTGATACAAAGGATCGATGAATACATCTGCATATTAATACGCAATAAGAACGATTAAATTTGCTCTATTAACACAATGAGGTCAATTTCCCACTGCAATAAAAAATATATAAATATATATTAACATGTTTTTTAGAATCTATTTCATTTTTTATTATTTCACAATAAATAAAAAAAGAGTTGTTTTTCAGTGCGAAGAAAAATTACGAAGAATACATAATTGAATAGAAATCAATAAGTTAAAAACACAGAGCATATTATTTATTAAACGTAAATATATGTATAATAAAAAATATTTAAGCCAGTAAAATAAAAATAGTTAAAAAAAAAAAACGAAGACCTTATACATATATCTGTGTAAAATATTACATAATATTAAAATATATATAGTTAAGAAAAATGTAAGGCATAAAATATCATTGAAATTTACCTAACAGTAGTTACGTAAAGTAATAGGACAGAGACGAGAAAGGAATATCGGTGAGATACATACGTTTCACGCACAATTATTCCCTCGGAAGTATATCGAGCATACATTTTTCAGTTCATTGTGCAGACAGAAGCAGCAATCTTCGCGCTATTTGTTCTTGAGTACGAGAAACATCTGTCTCATTGGGCTTTCGTAGAATTTTGGAATTGTACGCGCGCGCGTGTGGTGGAAATGTAACAAGTTTATAAACTTATTATACCCGCGTGACTACCATCTAGTTAGTCGAATCTCGCGTGAGATTCGTTTCCGGAGGAGCTGCGCTAACGAAGCGACCTTTATGTATTGTTGCAGCATGTTGCGGCGTGTTGCGGCGACTGTAAAGCGGAGAAGCCGAGAGATACCGACGTGAGACGAGAGAAACGAATCGAGAATCGAAAAATTATTCCGCCCCGGATGAATCCCCTTTCGCAAACGAGTCGTAGCACGGTGCGACGAGGACGCTGACGCTGAGAATTCGGCGACTCTGCCGGCGACTCCGAGGGGGTGGTGCATCGAACCATCGTACCCCGGGCGCCGATGATTCCGTCAGGATCATTCACTGTCGACGATCCGAGTTCGTCGATCGTCACCAGAGC